TATCTATCTATCTATCTATCTATCTATCTATCTATCTATCTATCTATATATATGGGAAATTGTAACACATCAAATTATGTCTATAATCAGTTTACTATGCTCTATTACATTTATGACCAGTCTTTATCTTTCGTCGTCTCTTACCTAAGTCTAACAAAATGTTTTGCTTTCTTTCTTTAATTAGCAATGTGTGTAGAACAAAACACATGGGACTTATTAGCTAGCATCCTGTTCTGCCTTGTGTTTCTTTAACAGCGGAGTTGTTTTCAACACGAATTCACGTGCGTGAGAGGTTCTATAAAACGTTTCGGCTTCGCCTTCTATTCGCATTTCCACGGCTGTTGCTGATGACGGCAGAGCGTGAGTTGACACCTACTGCTGCCGGCTGAATGAGTGGCTGTGTTCTCATTTTCACTTCTCCGCCCAATCAGCAGCTAGTGCCAACGCATCATAGGCCGGATCAGCAGCGAGGCTTTAGTGTAGCCTCCCATCTATTCTCTCTAGTCTTTATTGTGAGAGACATTGTCAACAGAACGTCAGTACTGTGTGCACAATATAAATATACAACTTAATTCATTTAGATTTCATCTCGATGTACTTATTGTAAGCAATAGTTCATCCACCTGTGGTCAAAACTGAGTTCCCCCACCCCTCAAACTATGTTGACCATAAATGTATTTTCATCTGAAGCAATGACAGCTTCCTTCCTCCCTGGCAACCACAAAGTTAGTCTGGCTTCTCACACTGGCTGCCAGCCACCAGACCAGGGTGGCTGTTTTTACTCCGGACAAGTCCTTTTCTTCGACCCTAAAGGCCCGATAGCTGCTTTTCTGTTTAGAAATGATATGAGGCACATCTTCAAGAATATTTTACCCTCAAGACAAAGTCTCCCATACACAAAAAAAATCATAAGGAAGTCCAGAAGAGGAACTTACAGCTCAGTTGTTGGTGCCAACACAAAGATTGTACCACAACGTCAGTCAGATGTTCAAATAAACTATGAGCCAGACATTTTTTAATGTTTTATTACTGTTCTCTTAATATCACTGCTGTTGCTCAGAAAGGAGAGACACAAAGATAAAGATGCCTAACTGTGCAGAACAGAGTCATAAAGACATTGATTTGGAAAATAATATGGAGGAAAGCTGTTAGATAACAAGGTATCTGAAATACCACATACAGGGTTCAGGGCCAAACTTAATGGACTGCAAACTGGACATTAATGGGCATATTTCCAGGTTACGTGTTATTTTTCAAAACAAGTCAGGCTTTTAAAAAGGTTGTTCTAAAGTTCATTCAGGAGGTTGCGCTGAACCATTTAGGCTGTTTGGCCCCGGACGGGTAAACGGGACACACTGGGATGAAGTTATGTTAAAGAGAATGGAGGGTGACACGGGTGAGCAGTTTTTAAATTATCAAAATAATGACCATGTGTAACCGCCTGCCCTGAGCTGCTACAGTGTCCAGATCAATCTGCCAAAAACAAAAATAAACAAACAAACAAAAAACGTGTGATTCTGTTTCAGCTTCATTTTCGTCCTATCTCTCATATATTTTCTAAAAACCACTTATTCCATCTTAACAATGTGCTTTATGTCTCTAAGGCTGAGCAAGACATATTTCTATTTTTGTCATTTGTGGGTAGAAAATGAATGATCATCTAAATCTGATAATAACTGCATCATACATTGTGGGTTTTTAATCTCTTAATTGAGTTGGGTGAAAAACCATTTAGAACTGCGGTGGTTAATTAAGGGTGTAGGACTTTGTAGGAATTTGGATATCGTCATGTCGACAGGACGACTAATGAAAACAGAACAGCGCTTCCACTTTCTGGAAACGACTGCAGGGCTGTTGTGCGTTCTGTTGTGCGTTTTGATGTGTGTCTCGGCAGCACATTGGCCCTCGCTCTTCCTCATTTCTGAACAGGAAGTGAACTTGAAGCCAGATGCAGAGCAGTTGCCAAACTCGGTGACATGTCACTCCGGTGAAACCCTGTGAACCTGGTACATCTTTTGTACCCTGCTGCTGCCACCATGATCCTTTTGGAACTACACCTCTGCTGCCACACTTGAAGTAATCAAACATCTGGTAAGCGACAAATTATTTTCTCTTTTCCACATCTGGCCAAATGAGTTACTTCTCCTTAAAAGCTAACGGAATGATGTAGCCACTGGCGTCGTTCTTCACAGCTGTCGAAAACACTTCCACATATGCTTTTTCTGACCAATCATCATCTGAATTGCATTGGGTTAGTTTGTGTTGCAACTTTAGGGGACTTGATTCAGCAATATATCACTTTGTTCTTCTTAGCTCTTATTGGTTCTCAGTCCACTGCACATTGCACTGTAATGGAAAATAAGTGTGATAGCATCAATCCGCAGAGTCCCTGTTGAGTATAGAAGGTGTCAGATAAGATGAGTTGGATGATCACTGGAGTGGTACAAAGTTTATGGCACATTAGCTGAAATATGCTAAAAGAGAAAAGCATCAAATGAAACATTTTCTGTTCTTTTTCTGTGCTGATGTCAGGCTGGAGTTTTGTTCCTCTGAAGGATGGGGAATATGATGCGTGTGACCCCCGGCAACGGGGTTAAGGATGAAACACTTGACGGATCTCTGAGAGGTAAAACATTCTTTTAAATTTTTAACAGCTAAACATACTATATGGTATTCATAATGAAAGTTCATGGAAAAGTGAAAAGTACTTTTTCAATTTGCAATGATTATGCGTATTCTGCAAAAAAAAAAAGGTCAAATCAACCGGTGTCATTTTCTGATGTCTCAATTAACAGTCACTAAGGCTGCACAGTATTTGTCTCTGTTTTTTAAATGCTGTAAATACTTTCATCATAACAGATTCAGATGATGACGTGCTAGTCGTACTCCAGGACTACCCCTCTGCTGAAATCAGCGAGCCTAGCTACAGAATGGGGGAGAAACTCCGACTTCTTGCACGGTACGATCACATTTTATCTTTAAATTCCATACGTTCAATTTTAGATGCCTGAAATCCACTGTGAGGAACATAAAGTTAATGCAAACCTAAAAAAAAAAGAAACTAGTTGCTGTGTCACGCTTGTAATATGGAAGTAGACATTTAAAAAGTCAGTTCCTAATTCCTCTTTGTTTTCATGGCTGGAACAGGGAGGGTTATTGGTTGAGAGTTCGCTCTGTTGGGACGGGGAAGGAGAACTGTATACCCAGCAGCCATGTGGCCAGGGTTTACCACGGGTGAGTTGAGTAAAAACAAAACAAGCAAACATAATGGAAAAATAACAGCAAAACAAATATTTACTTGTCATTTTTTTTAAATTGCTCGCTTCTCATGGATGTAATCAGAAATATTAATAACCTGAAACCACAAACATATGCTCTATATGCATAACCGGTATGAGGCTGGTAATGCCAAAGGGTCATTTCTGTTACGCTCATTACGTTTGTACCCTTGTGTCAGTTGGCTTTTTGAAGGGGTGGGGAGGCAGAAGGCTGAAGAGCTGCTTCTTCTACCTGGAAACAGAGTGGGATCGTTTCTGGTGCGGGAAAGCAGCACGGAGAGAGGTGGGTGCATGTACAGCCCACAGCAGAACACTTTTTATTCTGCTCTTTCAAATGTTACCCAGGGGTGACAGATAAAAAGGAAGGAATTTGAACGAAGCAATGAAAAACGAGAAATTCAGTGAATTTGATAAAGTTATTAAACCTAAATCGCCTACAACAACTAAAAGGTCTATTGTATAACCTAAAAAGAAGAAGTACAGAGATGCAACTATGTGGTGATGTTAGTGGTGGCTAAACTGAGCTAACTACAGGGTGTGAAAACAGCCGGCCACTGAGCTGAGTCATCCCAGTCTCAAAGGCTGGATAGATATGAAATAGATATTATAAGACAACGCAACATATCTTTTAGATCTCCAGCGACAAAGATAACCATCGGGGATAGTTGCAGATGACGTTTTTGAAATAATAATGGTAACACATGATAAATAAATACATTCTGAATGAGCAGAGGTGGAGCTGGACACCACAGCGTTGGCCTTAAAGTTATTTCTGTGATTATATTTTCTGTTATTCAAATAGATCTATATTAAATCTGCCATTTTTGCAATAACAGTAACAATTTTTGTTGTTAAAAGACTCGAGAAACATTACAGTTAGAATATATTAAAAGAACCGTACTTACTGTTCACATAATTTTATCATGTTTGTAAAGTATTTTTGGGAGGTGAAATTTCTCCAGTGCATTCAGGGAAAGAACTAGGACTTCACAAAACAGCCGCACATAACAAATTAGACCGAAAAAGTCAGGTAAACAGCACATAAATAGGTTTGTGTGAACCAACCCTGTTCACACCCTTTAAATAGCCATTAAAAAGTACCCGCAAACTAGCAACAAGATAATGGCAAAAGATAAACAAGTGGTGTTGTGTAGAGTTTTTTTTACCGATGCCAAGGAGTTTAATCTGCACTTATTAGTTTGTGACTTACTTTAAAAAGGTTTAGTTGCATTTACTGCATATTTCATCTTAGCTGCTGACATTTTAAAAGGCACATGACATTTCCGGACATACTAAACTGGCGACATCAAATGTCAAAAATTGATTTGAATTGATTGAATTGGCATATTAAAGGTTAATTCCTGGCCTGATTATTGTATTCTCAGGTATGTACTCGCTCTCTGTGAAGCATATGATCATAAAGCATTATCGGATCTTCAGACTGGACAACAGCTGGTACTACATCTCCCCACGTCTTACTTTCCAGTGCCTCGAGGATATGATCAACCATTATTCTGGTAGGTGGAATACAGTGCAAACACTCAAAAATGTCTTTAAAAGAAGTGCAAGTACAAATAAACAAGTAAGAGACCGGATGAGCTGAACTTAAAAATAAGTGTCTCGTTCTTAATATAGACCTATTTTTATCAGCATAAACTTTTTCCTTTCCTGCGCTGACAAACATTTTTAGAAAAAAACAGGAAATGAGATTCAGCACGCATGGCTGATAATGACCAGTCATGCAAAAACTGTTTGAGCAGTGTCTTGTTGATGGCCCAAGTTGCCAACTAAGCCTCACTCACCGATTTGTTTTTCAGTTTTGCTTCGGCACTCAAGCGTGTGAGCGCTTACACAAATCGTACACCCTATTTGACTGTTTCGTGTTTACTAGTAACCACGGTCCTGCGCGCCTCTTTTTTTTTCCCCTCTTCAGACTCTGCAGATGGGCTTTGCTGTATCTTAACATCTCCCTGTCTGTCGTGCAACGAGCCACCAGATCCGAGTTCTCAACCTCCACCTGTTGTCATGCGACGCAACTTTGACTGGAAGAAAGTGGACAGGTATGGAAGTGACCGGCACTCGAGCATGGTCAAGACATGTTAGAATTGATTAAGGAAAACAAATATGAATAGGCTAAGAACAAAAGCAAAGAGATGTAAGCTCACTGAGTACATTGTAAAAGATGAGCTGTTTTAGTAAAGCAGGTAATGTAGATAATCTCTTACATCTTCTTTTTGCTCTTTGCAGGAAACAGTTGGTCAGCACAGGCAACTGTGATGACAACATGGTGAGCTATGGCGTCCGGAACAGCATCGCTGCCTACCTGTCCCTTTCTGGTCATGTCAGCACTGCACAGCAGCAGGAAAGGAAGAAGAAAAGTAAATCCGTGTACGTGCTCCCTGAAAGCACCAACGCAAACAGTGACTATGGAAACGACTTCTAGGGACAATCGCCTGGGTTTTGGGTTCCATGGCCAGTGGAGGATATAATCCCCCGAGAGTCATTCTCCAATAATCTACTACACGTCTATAGCATCCGTGAGGAGCTAACCGGCCTGATAGCTGTTCAAGTATGCAGACAAGTCCGTCAGGAGAACTTTGAAAATTGCAAATTGCACAATAACTCGCACTCTGCCAAAGTGTGCCAGGAATGATAAACCAGAACTCTGCGGGATGCTGAACAATGGATAAAAAACAAACCTGGCATTATAACAGGAAAAAGATGAGCAAACGTTGTGGATATGCTTGAGAGGTACTATTATATATATATATTAGTAAGAATAGTGTCAAACTATTTTCCTTTTATCAAAAGTTTTCATCATTGATCGTTTACTGGTTGTTAACGTTTTTTACACATTCGTGCAGATTCACTTCACAATGCGATATCTCCCACATCTCAGTGAAGAACTGATCATATTGTTCAGTTGGGTCTTTATTAGAGATACTATCTAAACTGCTGTGTTATAATAACCTATTATAATGATAATGGATAGCATTTCGACACTAGAACTGTTATTGCTGGATAAATTGGATAAAATTTTACGCAACGTGCTTGAACAACGTCCTCTTTGGGTTTAACTCCTGTAACACATTTGAACACGATAATCCCCAAAGCTCAAAAAGCAGAATTTACATGAAGGCATACACTTTGGTCTAAATAAAGTGAGAAACGTTTTGTTCACACAGCCTGTGATGCATCTTTTTCTAAAGTCTGAGGTTGATATCTATAGCACTTTTGCCTTTTGCATTTAGGTCAGAATCAGTCTGCGGGTTCAACTTCACAACTGTTATGTTGACACATATGGCCAAATCCAGTTTAAGAAATGTGTGGCTGGATTGCAAAATTATCAAATATATGGACATAAGGTGATATGACGCAATGCCAACTTGCTGTGTTACACAAAATTAATGTAAGATAATGTTTTATATTCCTATAATCTATCCAGTTGTGTGAGCTACTTGGCCGTGTGGTGCAATTGTTCCTCAAAAGAGTCAGCAAAGTATTTTAAGTAAGCAGAAGTAGTGACGAACAAGAGATTTCGAGACCTTTCTGAAAAACATTCACTGACTACTAACAATTTTTCCATGAAAAACGTTCCAAAGTTAGATTGTCAAGTGTCAAGCTCAATGTATTAAGCGTTTAATGCGAGGTTAAAACAAAAGCCAATTACTGAATCAGCAGGCTATGAAGCAAATGCGTGTTCAGGGGAAGCATAAAATGTTGTGTGTGTGAGTGTGTGTGTGTGTGTTTCACCCTCCTTTGGTGTGTCTGACAGCTCAGGCTGTAGAGGTTTCAGAACTTTACCATCTTGATTGCAGTGGTTTTTGAGAAAATAGGCTAGTCAGGTCACTTTGTGTTCTCCTTTTAACTTGAAAAACTTCTCTGATCAAAGGTCTAGATAAGGCCCTGCAGACAGTATGGATGAAAGTGAGATTAGCTTAAGTGGGAAGCACATTTAAAAGAAATGTGCAGCTGACAAAGACTCATTTAAGGAAGCTGACATGCATCCCTAACGTGCCACAACGTTGTCAAACCTTTCCATCTTATTTATGTTTTTTTAATTAAATTTACGACCCAACTGTGTGCAATCAGCCTAAAACAAGCTCAGCACATTCTTTTCCAGGAAAGATAAAGGTGTAAGGGTTACGCCGGCTTGTTTGAAGGTCTAGTAAAACATCTGCAAGAGACAAATTGGTGCAAAATCAAAGGAGGTGTGTGTGTGTGTGTGTGTGTGTGTGTGTGTCTAATGGAAGAATCAGTGAGGCAGACACACACACATCTGGTTACCTACTGCTGCACCATGGAGAGACAGTTGTCCAGTCAGCATTACTCACCCCCAGACGGTTTCTATGTAGAACATTCCCACGGTTTCTCTAAATATTTGTCAAGTGGCTTTTCCGTTAATCGATGCCTGATTGATTCTGAGGTAGTTTTAGTCAAACGGCTGTAAAAGTTTGGGTGCAGTAAAAGGTGAAAAGCTGATACCAGAGATAGAATGAGGGCAAAGTTCATCAAAACCGGTTTATGTGTTTAAAACAGGATGATTTCACCTTCTCAGCAATGGAAGTTTACGCTCACGTCAGCAAAGGTTCATCAAACAAAAGTTTCCCTGAAATCCACTGAAATCATTTACTGTAATACCGACGGGGAAAGGGAAGACAATATCCCTTCGCTCTGCCAATCATCACAAATCTGAGTGGACATGGTGAAAACAAAAGCCCCCACTGGGGCGAAAAGAGGAAGAATTACAGCTCAAAAGTATCAAAAGCAGACACATGGTGATTGTTGTCTTACAAGAAAAAAAAAAATCCAAGTTCAGGATGTCTTCGTGATGAACAAAAAGGTTTCAAACTCTGGTTTACCCTTTGATTTTTCTTTGATGTCCTGGACGCGAGCACCAAGAAAAGCACAGAAACGATGCGATCGGGTCCCAGGATCGTTTCTTCACGAACAAAAAACGAGAAGGGGAAAGGAAGCCATGTCTGTGCTTGTCTGTAACTTCAGGAATGAGCTCAGGGAACAGAAAGAAAACAGAGATAAGTCGGGGAAATGAAGAGACGGACACAGATTCGTCCATCTATAGCCTGCTTTCTGTTACTCAAGAATCTCTAATCTCCCCAAATCCTCCCCTCCACCCTGAGCCCCAGCTGTCCAAACCTCTGACTTCACCACTCCAGCTCTCTGCTGAGATGCCCAACGTCCCGTTAAACGTTTGTTTTACTCCACCGATAACGTCCAACTTTAATCAAAGCGCCTTTCTGTCCACATGTTTCTTGTTAAGGTTCTTCTCGAGGAAGGAAATTTGTGAGGATAGTGTCGAGAGAATAATCTAGGACTATTGTGGAGAAAACAAGTGAACACGTGCAGAGTGTTTGTTGTAGGCTGTGTAATTCTTTATTTCATAAGAAGAAACACATTCTGTTCTCAAGCAGAAGAAGCAGCTCCTTAGCTAGTTTAATAGAAATAGAAACATCTAATACAAAACTCTGGAATCAGAGCAAACCGCTCTGACCCATGACACACATCTCTGGTTTTGGTAGTCCTTATTTTTCGTTGCGCTTTCAAGACTTACACATCAAAACTGTCAGGGTGGCATTTTCAGCCATAACACCCCTCACACTACGTTGAGCCTTATTTGGTGTTTAAATTGACACTATTCTAGTCCTGACCACTTCCTCCACGTTAAGTAAAGAACAGAAGTGAGATTCGTGTCTCGCTCTGGCCTCCAGCTACATTGTGAAAAATAACAAAAAACATCTAAACTATGTCCAGAGAAAAATATGTAGGGATTCAACCGACTCCTAATAAAACAGAGTGTGTCAGGTAGTTGTCACCAGTGCAGTGGAAAACACACAGCACTTTGTCAACAAGTCACAGAAACAGCACATGAGAACATGGCCTTTAATATTGAACCAGGGAAGTCAGCCAGTGCAAACAACAAACACCAGCTATGCAGAGAACCTGGGGAAAATGAGCAAAAACTAAACACTCTCTATAAATAAAAGCTCCAGAAAGCCCACGTCTTTGCCAAAGAATGAGCCCAGCTGATGACATTTTCTGGGAATCTGTTTGCTCCCATTCCTCTTGCATGAATTTGGCATAAATAAAAAACAAAGTGACAATCAGAATAAAACAGAAGAATGCTATGTTTTGCTGTGACAGCGTTGTTATTCTGGAGCACCATGCAGAAATAGATTTTTTTGTTTCCTTAACAGCAAACCATCGCCATATTGAAGGCTGAACAATACGTGTGCGTTTGAACTGCCAAATACATCCATGTAGCTTCTTGGAGACGGCAAGACCTGAGAAAATATTTTCAAAGAAAATAATCACTTGGATCTGGAGGATTCCCAGCAGTTTGGGATTTTTGTGGGTGTTCACTGCGTACTTACCGAGAATGTTAAAAAAATTCCTGTTTCCCTTGATTTGTTAAATTAAAATATACTCTGTCCTGAGGGTGGTAAAATGTTTAAACATATTTTACATTATATTAAAATTATTCTCTATTTTGAATGTACTTCTGGGGTTCCTCTCTTTTTAAGAGGGAGTTTTTAGTGAGAAACTATGAACAAAGACAAATTTTGTACTATTTTCTCCAATTGACCTTTCCTTACTTTATTAGTGTAAACTCAACTAAACATATATATTAATCTTCAGTTAAAATATATGAAAATATATTTAAGAAAATTATTGCTTGTGGTTTTGACTGTCGTTTTTGTGCTTTTGAGGAAATAAAAGGACACCTGCTGTTTTTTGGCTCTTTTTTCCCATATGAACTGAACATCATTTTTGTTTTTGTCAATCAGTGCTGGTACAGTTGTGCTTTTCCAATGATTACTGAATACTGAAACAATAATTTCAGCCTTGCCTAAGACACACCTCATCTCTTTGTCTTAGTAACTTTAACGGAGGACCAGGTTTTTATGGAAAATAAAGTTCTCACTAATGAAAACAGGGAATAAAAACTGCATTAAAAATCTTCCTTGTGTATCTGGAAAACAACCAAACTGGTTGCATATTTGTGACACTGATAACACAGCAAAGCTGGAAATTGTGGCAAAGCAATTAGCTGATTATATGCTACCAGAGGCCCCCACGTCTCAACGAGCCACGCAGGCATCACCCCGCCGTTGGCGAGATCTCCACTCTTCTCTTATCAGGCACAGAAAGCCAGCTGGGCTACTTCCACGTGAAAGGGACAGACTGTTGGAGCCAAACGGACAAAAAAAGCGGCCCAGAAAAAGATCTGCAGCTCGCATTAGCAGTAGCTGACGTGGAGATACGTGTACACCCCGAACACATGCACGCACTGGAGCCCGCACAGCTGGCGGCACTCGACATGCCTGGGTGACATCCAGCTATTGAACCTCCAAGTCCCAGACTCAGACTGGAGGGGGGGCAACGCTCGTTCCAACAAAAAGCGTCGTACACAGACACAGTTTGGAATGTACACAGACTGACAAATACATTTGGAGGGACAAACAGACGTAAACAAAATGACAAACAATGAGGAAAACCCAATGAGTTCATCTGCAAGGGATCTAGACTACCAGTTTGATAGGAGAAAATGTATATCTCTTTCATCTGGACAGTTGTTCTTGACAAACACAGTTGAAGATAAGATAGTAAGTGAAGTTCTTACATCATGTTAAGCATAGCCTTGTTAATTGGACGTGACATGCATTCTTGATCTGTGCCCACACTTTCCACAAGGCCTCTGGATTTCATCTGTCAATTAATCGCAGGCTGGGGCCGACCACAGATGGAGGAGTAATGGAAAAACTCATTAAGACGGGTCCTCACTGCCAAACTTTCCAAGTCTTAGTAGTGGTTGAGTAGGTACGCGGAAAAAAAAAAAAACATAGTGCAACCGAACCAAACGTCAGATGAGTAGCTGCTGAAGTATCCGTCTCCTAATTGTGTGACCAAGATGAAGTCATGACTTCTTACTCTGCACAGTGGTGATACCACCGACCCCAAAAAATGTTCCCTCTGTAATGTTCATGGAGTGGAAGTTGGATCTCAAACCAGATATGTTTGGTATGTGACTTGTCTGGGTCTGAGAGAGGCCATTTGTCTGAACCAGGGAAATTACAGTACCTCCTCTCCAAGGCCTCGGCATTGCATAATATTCTGTGATATAGGTTCAACGTACACATTCATCTTAGGAAACAAAACTATATTTTGTCTGAGGTTTGAAGTGATAGAACTCGTAAAACTGACTTTGTGAGATGACATGGAAACCATATCTTCTATCGCACAGCTTAACATAAAAAGAAACACATCTATTACATACATGCTTCATTTTCAGTCACGGAGCAGGTAAACCTCCAGCAGAACAATGTGGTTCAACTTTGATAAGTCGCTTGCTTAGGCATGATAATGTTGCTTGGAAAATGTTGAGTATTCTTGTTAATAGTAACATTGTGACATCTAGTGGGCACTGTAAAAATCATTGTGAAATTTCACAGGAGGTGGAAAAAGTAAAACCTCAGTTTACAGCAGAGTGTGGATCACTGGTGATGTCATACCAGAGTTATTTCACGTTTCATGAAAAGTCTCGGAATGTCTTGCTAAGACCTTTCACAGACATAAGGAATCATTGGTTCTTTTCATTTTAAGTGTTTGCCAAGGAAGGCAATATTTTTAAGGAACTCTGAGAAAAAGGCTTACAGTGTGATGAATGTTTCAAATATGGATTCAACAGATATTTTCATCTTTCTCAATGGAATTGATCAGTTCAGATTATTCAGTTTGGGAAATTCTGCATGTTCAATAGCTGTATGGTTCTAGGTGGATACAATTTTCACTGATTTTCAGATATTCGCAACAAGCCCTGCCGCTCCCATCTAAATAACCGAGTAATTCATGGCATTTTCACACTCGGAACTGTTTGCCTCTTGTCAATTTCGGATATATTAAAAAGACGGACCAGCTGGTGTCACACCATTAATGTCCGTCAAACAAAGTAAGCCAGAAGTTCATGCTTCGCTACATGAAATTTAAAAACAATTCAGACTCTGCAGTTTGAATAATTTTTGATGGACTGCGAGGAGCAGAAAGATGCAGAAGCAAAGGCTCCTTCGGTTATCGACCGTTACTACACACGGTGGTACAGAGCCGGTAAGTCCGGCCATAATGTGCCTCCATGCCCAAAAACTGGTGGACGGGGCAGCTCACCGAGCTCAGCCTTTTATTTCACTATAATGGAACACTAAAGAAATGTATCCTGACAAGTGAAGAAGTGTTTTTAAAGTGTGTGTTTTCTTTAGATATGAAGGGGAAAACGTGTGAGGACCACTGCATCCTCCAGCATTCAAACAGGTAACGGGACTAGTTAAACACTTCCAAATGATAATAGGAAAATATCAGCTATGACAATTAAGGATATATTTTCTATCTTTAAATCATGTCCCGATAAATCCTGTCACTACCTCAGGGAAAATGTTTTTTTAAATTATTTTTGTGTTATTGTATAATGTATTCTGTCTTATCTAACTATAGCAGACAGAAGCCCTTTTATTATCATTTTTAATCATGTGACAGTTTGTCAGATAATAATAATAATTTTTTGTCATATAATAGAAATCAGTACTGGGTAATTATGCTAATCCTACCAGAGGGTATTCTGCACAATGGTAGTTCCCCTCATTGCTCAAATGTGTTTTGCCTGAAAATGGTTTATTAAAGGGTTTCACATCTTGAAATGGTCAGTTTGTTTTAGAAGGAGGGGTTGGCTCTCTATGTCCAGTTTTAACATTTAAGTGGTTTTAAAAAAACACCTTCTTTTGCAGAATATGTGTTGTCACGTTAGCAGAGACCCATCCGATCCTTCAGAACGGGCGCACCATCAAAAGCATAAACTACCGGATCAGTGAGGGCTGCAGTCGTCTGAATAATAAAGTGTCTGGGAAGTCCAAGCGGGTAATATAATCTAGATTTCCCAAAAATGTATCCCTCAGGTCCTGTTTGTCAGCCGTCCTCACGGTGTATGTTTTTTTTCTCTTTTTCCTAACAATAGGGAGGGCAGTTCCTAACTGACTTTGCACCTTTGTGCAGAATAACGTGCTCAGACGAAACTGAATACACAATCTACAGGTGAGATGTGTTTTACATTTTTTTTTAACAATGTTAAAAGATTTTTCCTCTGCATGATGTCAGTCTCTAACACAGTGTGTTGTCTTAGCTGCATCCGGGGCCGTCTGCTGGAGGTCAATGAGAATATTTTAAACACACCAAGTCTCTTGCTTGAAAAGGTAAATCATGTCTTTACATCAAAATATCCCAATTATATTTATATGTAAATGCATTGACTTTCAGTGGTATGTTTGACCTATGAATTTAATGATGGACTATACATCTGAACGCGATTCTGTTGCTTTTTAGATGAATGTCTTCACATGAGGCAATCCAGTTCTTCACATTTTCAGCATTTTATTGTGGAAATAACCCAAAAACTTGAATGCTTCAGTTGTGCTTTTGTGTCTCTACTCCTACCAGCCGTCCACTGACGGATACATTGCTGTCATCTTGCCAAAGTTTGAAGAGAGCAAGAGCATCACAGAAAATCTTCTGAGCAGAGATGAGTTTGAGAGCCTGGTCTCAAAACGTGCGCAGCCTCAGCCCTCGTGACGGCGCTCCTTTCCGTCTCACCTGATTGGCTGGTGGACGAGGACATTATCCTGGAATCGGATATTTAAACGGAACCACTTCTGAAACTCTTGTTTATAACACAGACATTTAAGTTTACAAGAGCTTTGGGTACAAATGCAGCTGTTTTTCGGTACGCATCCAGGAAGTTTGCTGCTCGAATCGCTTCCTCGCTTTTAGTTTAGCTAATTTGATGTACAAAGAAATGGAGAAAAATACAGCAAATCCCATTCTGTGTGATGACTCCAAGTAAGCATCAACGGACCCTTTGTTGAACATAAAGAAAACCCAACAGTGGCTTAAGAAAAATATTGTTTATTTTTTCGTCTTACTTTCATTTTTCTTTCAGCTGTCAAAAGAACAGATGGTCCAAAACTAGATCTGAGTTCCTCATGTCTGGGGAACCACTACAATACCCAGCATTCCTAACTGCTCTCACACTTACGTAAAACTCTCTAAAGCTTATGTTTTATTGTAAAGTTCAGTCATTGTGAAACTGCTTAGTACCAAAGTTATTTCCTTGGGATACATATGCTGTTTACCCTTCAAGTACCGTGTTCTATATATTTATGTTTATATATCACAACATTTAATACATACTGACTGTTAGGCAGCTTCATGTTGATATTTTTCATCTTGTCATCTTTAAAGTTTGTTTTACATAGAATAATCCATCATTGCAGAATATGATTTATTATAACTCAGCCCTGACTTTCCAGAAACCTCTAAAAGATGGGTTTCATTAATTTTTTTTCTTTCTATCTTCCAGCCTAACAATAACAAAAATGCCTCCAATTGAATTATGGAGGACAAAAGACTATTTAAGATGGTTAGAAGCTTAGGATTTGAGTCTTTATGAGACAATCATATTTGGTATGAAACTGATTTTTTTTTCTTCCTGTGTTTGTTGACTACTTGCATGGCACATGGGGAATGTTCTGTAGTAAATGCTGAAGCCACGAGACAGGAAGGCCGTCATGTGGTCAACTAGTAAAATATATTTACTGCTGAGATGGCGAACATTACATCGATGCATTAACGTTACGAGTCTGTCATTGCACAAGACTTAAACAGAAGCTTGGTGCTGAGGTCATGGTGCGTGGCGGGACTTCTGTTTTTGTGTACGTTTTTTAAAAAATGTTCTAACTTGTGAAACACGCAGCACACCACAGAACAAATGGGCTCATTACACAGAGGCACGTAGTGAAGACGGGCGTATGGCTGAGCTGCGCGTCAAGAGGAGTTCTGATCAGTTCATAGATTCGGTAGCCAGAGAAGTGATGCGGTGACCATAAAAATCAGGTTTTTGCCAGACCTCACTCTTCTGGAGGACTCGCTGTCAGACTGTTTGGCTGATTGTCTCCATCTTGTGGGCTGGGGTGAAACTGGTACTTCGGTTAACAAGCAAACTTGAAGTTAAAAACAAAAAACAGCCTGAAAGGCCTTAGACAGGTTGGATTTGCTCGTCTTGATAGAGAATGCGAGCTCTTGCTGACCCAAAGGCTGCCATGGCTCCAGCCCCCGCTGTGGTAGGTGCATGGGGGATGAGGGGTGGGTTTCCTGGATTACATGTGCTCCACAGAGGTGAGGTTGGCTGTGTGCTGCTTGGACCAGAATTAGCTCTTATTTGCTTTCCAAGAGGTTGAGACCGGCCATGTGCTGCTCAAAAGGTTGAACGCCTAAGCCGTTGCTGCTCTTGCTGCCCAGAGCCCCCTCTTCTTTGACCGGTGTGGACGCATCCTGCTTTTCTCTCCACTCCTGTGGGGAGCTAAGGCCAGTCCTTGCTGACTTATACTGCAAATGAACAGAAGGCAAACATATAAGGAAGAAAAAAAGCAGAGAGATTGCACCTGTAGCTACTAGCAGCAAGATTGTTTTTGCATCACACAATAGCTTTTCTGATGCTTTTGACTGCAAACCATCATTTTCCAGTTCAGCGTTTGGCGCTGAACTGGAAGTGTTTGTTGTTTTTCAACTGCTTACCAGTGGTCAATAATCTGGGGTCTCATTTAGAAAAAAAAATCTTACATTGACAGTAACAGTAACACATTTAATGGCATCTTTAAGGGATGCTTAAATATAATCTATTTAAGATGCACGACATAAAAATGCTATCTAAAGCAGGCCAAGTTATTAAGAGCGTCAGATGGATGTCACCTTTCTGTTGAGCTTGTTGCACAGCGGGAGAAGAGAACGGACCACTGTCATGATGCTTTTGCTTGTCTGAATGGATGAGTCCACCTACAAGTCAAGAAATATACGTATATATATATAGTATATGTATAATACATCAATATTTTTCAATATTTACCAAAGAACACTCAAGGGAGAGAATAATGTATTTTTATGTGCATTCTTATTTTCTTGGGACTGAGGTTTGAGTGTTCTTAATTTTTCACACACTGTCTCTTTGTTTTTGCCTGGTTCTTGTTGATCAAATGACACCAAATAAGAAGTAGAAGCCCTCTGTTGTTCATTTGAGGTTAGAATTGACCAATCACAAGATCTCAAGCTGTCATTAAGAAGCACAATTTGTGGCTTGATTTGTGTTCGTCTCTGGATTTTCAGCCTCACGCAGCAGTTATTCTTTTTTGATCACGATAAGTTGTAACTGCTTGCTATCCCTGTAACAGTAGAAGTAAAATTTACAATTCCCAATTAATTCACTGAGATAAAGAAAGATATTAAACCGATATTAAGGAGATCTTGAGAGTCTGTCTCACTGTCATATTGTAATAATGTAATAAATATAAATTGTAGAAGATTTGGCTTAATACTGGTGTTAGTCTTTCCTGTTGCAAGGCTAGTACTCAAATATTCGCCGGAGGTGGTGAAGTGAATGCTGTGGTGGACAGAAACAGGCCTGTATTAATTAGAAGAAGACTGGCAATTCTTCAGCTAGACCTCTTGATTTGAAACTTGGCCTTGGCCTGCTCTTTAATTCCTCGTGGAAATTCATAAAATCATGCACCCTATGCCACATGTTGTTACACACAGATCACTCAAAAATTGTGCTTTAGCCACTAATGACCATAGGTTAGTTTTGGGTGAATTACTGATATCTCGCCGCTGTGAATAATTGTTTCTGATGAGGTCAAAGCCAATTAACCGGGTGAGGAAAGAGCAACAGCACGCATGCTCTTTGTGTGATACGACTCACATAATGGCCACGAATCAAACAGGCGCCCAGCATGCAAATGACTAACAAAAAACAGGTGTAATAAGGGTACCTTCTGGAAGGTGGCAGTCTTGCCCTGTACAGGGGTCTTGGCCCCCATCTGCAGCTGCTGGCACAGTGCCACCAGCTTCTCCATTTCTGTCATCACCGCACACTTTTCCTCATCAACCAGCTGGAAAACAGAGAAAGGGAAAAGGGGTGGTTTTTTGGAACAGGGAGACGAGTTTAATCTGAGCACTCTTTGACAGAGTCACTGGATGAGTCTTAAATGCTCTTGACAAATTGAGCACCATAAAAAAGGGTGAAATAAATGCAGTAAAGCAGGGTTGCTGTGTGTAATCCATCAGCAACAGCCATGAACTGCAGCTTCAATCTATAAAGCAGCTGAGTTAATCCCTGGATCTCAGTCATCAGAGCCATCAATCTACTTCAGTTATATACCAACAATGACCAAAAGTCACCATGTATTTGTTCAGTGCTACACAGTCAAAGATTACTAAAGGTACACACCGCTTTTGGATTATTAGTAGGGGAAACGCAGGTGTGCTGTGAGTGTGTGTGCTGATATGGGAGTGGAGGGTGAAACGGAGGGACTCCATTAGCACCATTTTGTTTGATGTAATTAATCAGAAAGCAAGAGACAAGTTGAAGAGCTGGGTCTCCTGATTATGAATTAGTTCTGGGCGGCTGCAGTCACACACAAGCCAATCCCTGTACACATGTCCATGTGCACAAACATACACACCCCCGGACACACGGTGACAAATGGTAGTCGTTACAGGCTGTCAAAAAGAGCTGTTTAATTAAACTTGGAGGACCTGGAGAAGGAGTCAACGGAAAGCAAGAGGAAGGAAGGAAAGCACCTCGGCCGTGTTTGTTTGCGGGATCTCAAAAAGAAGAGATGTGTGACAACCTTAATTTCCTGCTCTTGCTGTTTGATTTATAAGGCAGACCTAACAGCATGGCACGCCACAATGGGAGTGATGGGCATGTGTAGAAGTGAGAGGGTTTGGACACATGTGCCAGTGGGTGTTTGTGTGTGCGCACACTGTGGGTCAATTTACTCCTTTCAGCTATCCATGTCATAAACTTGATTCATGCCTGCTGATTAATGTGCTGATATAGTCTTTAAAAAAACTATATCACATTTTAAATAGGTGTCAGGCTTCAAAACGTGCATTTTTGTTCAATTAACTTTCATTTATTGTGGTTTACGTAATCAACAAAACCATGTAGTAAATTTATTGTGGCACTGCACTGTGCTTTGCTTTTCAATCTTAAACTCAAAGGGGTACGAAGCCATGATTTTTACCTGAGCGGAAAATGTCCGGAGAGACGAGCACAACTGGAGGCCTTCTTCAGACAAAACCTGATGAAAAAGTCATGAGGAAGAGAAAAATCAGAATACGGGAATAGCAAAGTCCAAGAAAATGAATATTTATTTTAATTTTCTCTAAGAATCCTTGAGTTGGCAAAGGAAAGAACAGTAGTAACATTTCATATTTAGTTTTTCACTGCTCATATTTATATAACATTATGTCCCTTTCCACTCTTGTTCTTAAGCTTATCTTATCTTTCCTCATGCCTAATCGAATAAAAACTAGCAGGCATTTTAAACCACTCTTCTACAAATTACTGTTCAATACTGGCAATGATCCCAATTCAATAAAATACACTCCTTTCCACAACATCGTCACCCCCATAAATTAAAGACAGACAACAAATGAATAGATCTACATGTTCAATAAAAGGGAGGGGAAAAAACGAGGGGAGGAGGACGGGGGGATTAGTGGATGCTTATACCTCAGCCTGATGAAAAAGATCCAGTGTTGTTTTCAACAGCCCCTCCCCTCTTAGGAATCAATGATGAATATAAGAAAGAGAAACATGAATTAGAAAATAGGACAAACTACAAATACAGCAATCAATAAAAAATATATTATTTGCAGAATAGCTCATGGGTTTGTGAGCTTTTATGCATTGTAAATGTTGATAGCTGGAGGCTTGAGAATCTCATTAATACTAAGCCTCTAAAGAGATTTGTGTGATGCCAGAGTGGCTTACAGTAGCGAGCTTTGCAAAATAAGGCAACAGCTCTGCAGGCTGCAGATGAGAAGGCTACCTGGTGAACAGGTACATGCTATGAGCCATACTGGCGAGGCTCTGGCTCTGGCGGACGACGTCGTGTTCTGGCTCCTCCCACTTTTCCACCTCTGTGTCCACGTCCGACGACAGCAGACGGAGCTCCAGACCCAGCTTGGCCATGCTCGTCTGCTCCTACAACCACAAGAGATGCACAAACTGTCAGGGCCTGGAGGATAATGGGTGAAATTCAAATGAACAGACAATGTCATATTTAATATAATATTTAATTTAATATTTTCTAGTCACATCGAAGGCCTGAGCTCTACAAAGTCCCTTTTCCCTTCACAGTAAAGCATAGGAAAATGTGCCAGCCAAGCAGAATTGCTGCATTTTACCACAAAAACACAATCAATTCAGTAAGAATGTGACAGCCATAGTCACTTGGAGATTATTATACCGCTGCGGGAACATGCTAGCAGACGTGATGTGATTAGCTGAGCTCAGAGCCAGAACACTACCTCTGCATCCAGCTTGACAGCTTTGGCAGTCTTAAGGTTGGCAGAGAGTTTCTGTGGGAAAAAGAGAGTGTTATCAATCAGACTGCAGGCCACTGTATCAGTGAAACATTTATGTGTGTGATACACACCCCTGGTCTTGGAAGTGACAAATACGGCTTTTTGTCACCTAGAGGAAGAAAATATTTGTTATTATCCGTATATATATAATAACAAACAAAAAAACAGAAAAGCATTGTTTATACTGGTGTACTGACATCATTTGAACACTTCCTGGGGAAACCTGGGTTTTTTAGCAATCAGAATAAAGAAGTAGTTTTTCTTTGGTCTCTGCTCCCCTTCAGCACACATTCGTCTGACAGAATGGACGTACGGTTCATTTCCATCGACCACAGCCACAGTAAACTATTGTCATGCTCTTCAGGGGAGATTTGAAAAGTCCTCAAAAATCCTTCACAAGTGGGCATTAAACATTTCAAATGCAGGTTTTTAGGGTGGTGGACGTGATCCGTGGAAAGGCTCAGGCGAGCTAGGAACGTTGTGCATTTTGCACTTTGATGCGTGACATCGCATTTTTAAAAGTCACCACGTTGTTTTATGCACTTAAGGGCTCATGTTTAAAAGCAAAGTACAAGCAATTGCACAGACTCCAGTTTCTACATGCGTTTCTGTCACAGAGGATACAAAAGCTCCACTTTAAAAGGCTGCCTGTGATGTGGGAGCGACTAAGTAAAGAAACTATAACAGAAGAGGAATGAATAGACTTTTTATGGCCCCATTGTTAGTCTTAAAAAAACGTCTCACTGTCTATGATGATTACCGTTTAAAAGATAAGTATTCTATATGGTATAAAAGAAATGGTTGCCTTAGCTAAGCTGATACTTAGTTTTGCTGATAACATATTCTGAAGAAATGTAATTCATCAAGGCTTTATTAGAGAATTAAAAGAGACCATCTTTCCATTATTCAGACTGCTTATTCCTAGTGTGGTTGTGGGGCGACTAGAGCCTATCCAGCGCGGTAAACCCTGGACAGGTGGCCAGTTCATTGCCAGGCCACTCATGGACAAACAACCATTGCTAGGGACAATCTACAGTCCTCAATAAACCTGACATTTTTGGACGGCGGGAGGAAGCCAACTGTTGTTCTTGTAACAGTTTTTGAAAAGTCTGCTTGTGGCCAGAATCCCATTAGTTATTCTTTCCAGTACCATATGAATGGATTAGTTGGTGTTGCCATTAGAGAAACAATACAAATGCTAATTCAAATTTGAAACATCAGGTAAGAGCTGACACGCTTGTGGTAGTTTTGGGCTTGTCTTCCATCTCTTTTGTTCACAGCACAGTGTGAAGTTACAATTACTGAAAAACAGCTAAGGCTCGAGTCAAAGAATAGATCCGGCTACCAAATCTTGTTTCATGCTTTCACACTCTTCACGTGAAAAAAGAATATCTGTTTTTAAAAGAAACATTGTTTACTATTATTTCCACACTCAATATGTCAACGTACCTCGTCTCCCTTCAAAAATGTCGTTTATCTCCTTAAGCAGCAGAGCCATGTCACACAGCTGGGACTCCCAGGCCTCGCAGAACACTTCCAGGTTCTCCTTTGCAATCTTGCTGGATGGATGGAGGGCCAGAGTCTGTGCAGCTGAGATGATCTGAGAGCGAAAAACGTGTCACATATTATGGAGAGAATTTAAAAAAGGCTACATGTTGTTTATTTACTGCTGTGGTGATCTTCAGTTTGATCTGCTAGAGCTGCAGATCTACAATACCAATCAAACGTCAACATATGTTACATATGAAACATATGTTACCATTTAAACAGCAAGACTGGAGCTAATGTGTCTTTAAAATCATACAGGTATGTGTACATGCGACCCCCTGTGTTCATCAGCTACAGTGTAGTATCTAATTGCCAATTACCCTCTGTGCTACCCCTGCATTACTTTGGGCAGGTACAGAAGATATCACCGCTCCCATTCTGCTCAGCACCTCTATGGATTGGCTGACCTTTGAACTTAGGGGCAGAATCATTACGGCAGAGTCAAGCAGGGCCTGACATTAGCCCCGCAGGATAGGAACATTCTACACTGCTGGATAATAACAGCCGTGGATGGTTTCCAAGAGCAAATATAATTAGATCTTGGGATGGGAAGGAGGCGGACAGTGTGTTCTTAAACATTCTAAATGGATATCTGGTGTTGGAGATACAGAGAGGAGACAGGAAATTAATTGCCTTTTTTCCCTTCTGCACACATTTTTTAACCATGTATTACTCACACTTCATTTTACTTCTGATTGACTGTGAAACCAGCTGGGTTTGAGTGATGCACAATTGACATATATCGTAAAATGAACTTTTAATTTCATCAATGAAAAACAGTTCACACAGCCCGACACAGACAATGGTATTTTTGACAAAAAATGTGATTTCTACAGTTATTCGCCAAAAGCTTGGCCAGTTTCAGAATGGTGTGCCATGTGTCTTTAAAAAATAGACCTGAGACACATGTCTACTGCCCACTGAAGCCTCATCAAAAATGGTGTCTAAAAGAAGAATGGCTGAAAAGAAGCCTTTCTTAAGTAAGGGAAACGAGACAAAAAGGCTGAGGTATGCCAGACCGTACGGGGAAAAGGGTTTTACGAGTGACAAATCCTTCTCATGAGCTGGAGCTCGACATTACTGAAGGACTGTGAGATCATCTTGACCAAGAACAGAGCAAAAGGCAGCCAATATCCAAGCAAGAGCTTTGAGAGGTCTGCTCCAGAAGACTACTTCAAGACATGACGAAAACCCATCAAAGTGGAGTTCGGGCTGTATTGAAGAACCAAAGGAACTTTCACAATAAGCCTGTGTCCCGATATCTGTTTGCTTTAGCTTAGTTCTCATTCAGTTGGACAAAATAATAGTCCTAACTTAAAAACAACACATATGATACTCATTTGCACTACCTGTGGGCCGATAACGTGGAAGGTTTCCTCAGCGTGGACGCAGGTGATCTCCAGAGGCTCTGTTCCCGACACGTGGCACAGTAGCCGGCAAGTCTGAGAAAACAAATGAAATAGCCGTTTATAAGCATCAAATGTCCGGAGGAATCACCCTTTGCCCTGAAGCCCATTTTCACACCTATTCTGATCTTAATGAATGAATTTGACAGATGAATAGAAATGTAACCACTATTTTGTGCCCAAATGTGAGAATTCCAACTAAGCTCTGTGTACATCTTCTGCTAGTGTCCCCCCGCTGCCGTAACCCCGCTTACTTCCACCAGCTGCTCCTTCTGCTCTGTGAGCGTGCGCGAATACTCCGCCACCGTCTCCAGGTTTCCTTCGGCACCTGCAGCCTTGAGGGCCCTCAGAGGCAGCTGCTCCCCGTGAACTTTCAGCAGGTCCGAGGCCCGGCCCACTGCCACCTTATGGAGCTGATGGGAGAATCAAATAGCTTACAGCAAGAATGAGAGGGGGGACGAGATACGTGGGTTAGGGTAGCGACTGAGAGGGGCCAAGAAAGACCAGGAGAGCTGAGGTTACACAGCAGCTATCTGAAGCGAATAATAAAATGAGAAGCAGGCTACAAGTGGCTGCTGTGATCATAAAGGAGGTTTTAGTTGGGTTTGTGTGTTTCTACACATCTGTACAGATGTGTTCTGAGGCTGCTCACCTCGCGTCTCAGTTCACTGATGCTCTGGCACGTCTTCAGGATGGCCATCTCCATGTTCTCTGAGGCCTCTTTGGAATGGACTGACTGCTGAACAAAGGATAAAACACATGACGCAAAATGGCTTTGAAAGAAAACGTGAAAGCCCGAAGGCCACAGGAAAGAGAGTGACAACGCACTGGAAAAGAGCAGACAGAAATGGTAGCTCAGAGCCTTCATAGCATGACATTTGTGAACTGTTTTGTTCAGACGTTGCAAACAGACTCAACCACTTCACTATGTAATTTTGGACAATAATATGGATAATAATTTGGTACTAGTTGGAGTTGTAACTAAAATAAATGTGTCCTGATAAAAGAACAAACTTTCCTGGGCAGAGAGGATATGTGGAAGGTCCTTCGTTACAGTCTCTGAACACTGCAGTGCTCATTTTTTCCCCCAAATCTCCAAACAGTCTGCAATTGCAAGGACTAAATGAGGCAGCGCTGTACCGTTACGCAACTGCAGCCTCTCTTTGCGCTCGGAGAACATTGGTAAAAGTTTTCACTCAAAAGACCAGGCAGCGTAAAGCGTCGTCTTTCAAAAGTCAGTCCCTTTTCAAGGCCAAGTAGACTGTGCAGAATAGGAGAGGACACCATGTGCTGTTTCCATATCGGCTGAGTGAGACCCAATAAAAAGAGTTATTCAGGTGGGTCTTAATATTATGCTTGTATTGCTCCAGCAGAGGTGTGGGAAAAGAAAGGGATGAGGGTAATAAAGAGTGTGTGCAGGATGCAGTTTTGGCTAAACTCAGTCTTTGGGTTACAAAGACACACATGAAAGTGCTCCTAAACTTACATAGGAGCTGCTGAATGGCTTTTAATGGATCAAGTGTCAGATTGGATCTTGATAGACCAATCAAAAGTAAATAAAAACAAAAAAAACAGCTTCATCGTTTAAAACTTATGCCTGTCGTTATCATCTTTCTGTTAGTAGTAAGAAATAAAAATATCCACCGTTAGTTTCCGGCCGATATTTTGCTGTCAGCCACTATATTCAACATAAATTATGGAAAGCATGTCTTATTAAAACATACTGCGTAAGGAAATGTTGCATTGAGCGGGATCAGATTTATCTTTATTCTAACGCATGACAAAGAAAGAAATGGAACAGATTTGGGCAGTGTAGAACTTTTTTTATGTATAGAAAATGTAAACATAGTTGGGGAGCAATTGCTTTGATTGACAAGGTTTTTGTATTCGTAACAGTTTCTAATAATTAATAATGGATAATTCCCTAATCCCCTTTGCTCGAATATATTTGTTTTTGCATCTCTTTGCATATAAATATTCATACAAGCGTGTTAGATGTGGAAAACTCTGGATATTTTCTCAAACTTCTTTAATGTGCTTTTATGAATATTCCAGTGAGTCTGAATGAAGCCTTACCGCCTCGACCCAGCCGTGCACCAGCTGCTGGGTGTCCTGACGAACCAGCTGGCACAGGCCGAGGATGGCCTGCCGCTGCTCGTGACTGGTGTAGGCCGAATCGGTGAAGTCCTCCGTCCGCTCCACCAGGGCCTCCAGCTGGCCGGTTATGCTCTGCGGCGTCAGGGAGTGCGGGTTCTCCCGCAGGCTCTCCACGCTAGACTGCAAGAGGAGAAGCAGTTTGAATGACGGACGAACCCACGAGAAGGACTGAGACGGCGGCACACGGACAAATAGGAGAGAAATTAAATGTAATGTTTTGACTTTACAAACCAGTGCCAGAGGGAAAAAAAAATTAATCAATACGCTTTTGTGATTTTTAAATAGCAATGTGAGTTTCAGACTCACTTTGCGCCACCAGAGATTGAAAATAAATTCACCAAGCAGCATCTCCATCGTAAAAGCTAATGCATTTTTTCTTGTTTTACGCTCAACAGAACTCTTTTTTTTTAAGTACCGGTCTCTCCTTATGCGCTGAGTAATGGCCAGTTTACAAAAGCTTTTAGTAAACTTTGCCATTCAAATCTGGTGAGCCATATTTCTCTAGGAGCAACCATCTGCCGGCCTTTCACTAACACATTTTCCCATTTTCTTTCAGTGGGGGAGATGATCTTAAAGGCTGTCAGAATAGGTTGGTAAGACTGATGGAGGTTTAGTGGTGATTCACACAACTTTTGTTGACAGACTGTGAACTGAAAAGCTTCTTCATGCTGACCGTCTGAGACACATCTGGATCTGCAACAATAAGAGAGGATCCACAGCCCCAAACACAATCTGAGACTAAGTTTAGATGTTTCTTCTCCTTACATGGCTTGTGATTTGCGAATGATTAAAACATGTTCTGGGGAATGAGTCATGCATAACAGAATAATGACTGAACTTTTTGGGCCAACACATCAGACGAGCATCATTAATCTAAATATTTCTCAGCGCTTTTTGCTCCATTTGGTCTCTGAACCTACTTTAAGGTCTTTGATTCCATTGTAAATGCTGGCAGGAAGGATCTTGTTTTCTCCACAGCTCCGAGCCTCGGTGACTATCTCGATGACCTGCTCCAGGGCACAGCGCATTCGGTGGAACACGGCGTCTTTGTTGATCCTCGCCGACTCGCAATCAGGGTGCCTCAGGCAAGTCTGTGGAAGGAATTCAAAGTGAAGTGTTAAACCCCGTAACCTGTTCTAGTCGTTTCAGGGTTGTTGTTTTTTTCCAATGATATTGTGCTTTCATCTAAGGTATTTGCATTGGTCCAAGCTTGCAGGAAACCTTGAAATTGAAGAAACCCGAGAGCTCCTTCGATATTTAGACTGGCCATCCATTAGCCTTGTCCAAAACCTCCGGCAGGGCTCCACCAGAAGTTTACCTTGGAGGCTGTGAGGAGCATCATGGTGCATTTCTCCAACACCGCTCGGGCTGCAGCCATTCTCGCTTTCTTCTTCTCATCCTTTAAATCCTGCAGCAGAAACATTTGCACACCAAAATAAAAACCAAGGACTGCTTCGGTTACAACCCTTTTCAACTTTCGGGGGTATCTGAGGGACATGTGGCATCAAAATGGAGTTGCATGTGTTCCTGGTCATCTGACAAAAAAACTGAATACGACAAGACCTTGTTTGTGTCACCCCGCATGTATTCCCCACAGAAATATACAGCTCGAATTATGTAGATACAGGATTTGCAAAAGAATAGGCAGCTGAACCAAGTCCTCTCCAGGCACTTTGCCATAGATTACAAAGACGATGTGATTATGCGTCATTATTTTTTGCTACGGCGTGTGCCTGGCTTCAAAAGACGGAGAGGGTCGCTTTTTCTAAAAAGATGCGTGCTTGTGCGAGCAAGCGAGTGCATAAGTGGGAGGGAATGCGACAAAAAAAAAAAAGATAAAGAAAGCTGGGTGGTAAATGAGGAGAGGAAGCATTAGCAGCAGTGCAGAGCGTCTGAGAGACGTGACGTGTGTGTCAAAATGTGAGCCCCAAAGAAATTCAGTCTCGATAGAGCGGCCGCTGCACTTTCCAGCAACTTCTGCAGGCAGAGCGCTTCGGCTACAGAAGTGGGGTTACCGGTCTGCTGTAGTACAAAGTTGGGGCGTTTTTTCCTAAGCTACCAGTTTGAGTTTTGTTAAGCTCATTCTGCTGCTGTGTGGCTGACATAGTTCACATGTAGTGGGCTGCTGAGAGCACCGATCAGTCCGTAACAGCCCTGAATCTTAATGTAAACAGTATGAGTCACAACTGACCTGTGTGTTTAGTTCTCTGGGTTGGTGTAACAAGAATAGATTAGTGCAGTATAGAGAAGTTAGAAAATGTTGCAGAAAATAATAGAACCCCCCCAAAAAAAAATAATTGCAGAAATTGTGTGAATATCTGATTCACATTATTATAATTATCATTATTCATTGGTATTGAATAGGCTGCACTTCATAGTATAGCTAAGGTGAATTTACAATGTCTACTTTTGCAGAGAACTGAAGCAGGTTTCAGCATCTGCTTCAGTTGTCGGTGTTCATTAAAAATCGCTGTTTGGTTTTGCAGTGTTGGAAAAATGAAGAGGCAAATTACGGCTTGCATTTGCAGGATTTTCATTTAATGAGAGGCTTTCGAAGGGATTTGATCATTTTGATGCGGATAAAGGGAGAACGTGTCAGTAAATGCTACTCACATTTTGCCTGTCTCCTGTGAGGTGAGCAAACTCCACCATCTCATTGCCAAACTGGCTGAAAATCTGAACAAATTCTTGGAAAGTGCTGACTCTCTCCAGATGGTCGAGGGTCACCAGTACCTGTGTGAGGGGAGTGAGGGGATCAGAGTGGAATGGTGAATGAATAGACTGGTTTGGGAACAGTGCATTTCGGATTACTAACAGACTTAAAGCAGCCTTGGAGGTGATCAATAATGCTTACATTCATCAAGTAAATATTTACTCAGCAATAAAAATTATTGGATTCGGGCATGAACTATGTTTCATTTGAATTTTTCTGTCACTTTCTATAGTTAGGTCAATTTTCTTCCTATTGGAATATCAATGTTTTAAAGTGACATAATAACACAAATTAAATCCTAAATAAAGCTTTTAGATTAAGCATCTATTAAACTGCCTTTCATATAATTATAGCCTATGAAGCTACTGATTTAAGAAGGATAAGCTAGCTGGAAGCACAAACACGGCAGCTTTTAGCCATGCTGTTCAGAAAAGAATGAGGGATCTAATTGTGTTTTCCAATAATGGAGAACAGGGAGCTGTCGGCTGTCCATCAAAACAAAACTAACCGGTCGTGATTTGGCCCCCTGTTTCCACTCTTGGCTCGGCGTAATGGTTCATGCATACCACACGGTTTGGCAAAGAGCACGGCCAGCTACGACAAAGCCAGGCCGGCTCTGTGTCTCTGGCTCTGTGTTTCTATGTGTCTCTGAAAGTGCTGCTTCCCCTCAATTACATCCAAATGACTTTGTCAGGCAGCCAGTGCGTACCTTTTCGGGATACAAAAAACTGGAGAAAGTTTACCACTGTGGGTGCACAAGTCTTTGAGCTTATTACCCACACACTTGAAGGCGGTGCATTCTCATTTCAGGGGTCTCTCACCTTGTTGCGTGAGGCGATGATCTGTTTGATGACGATCCGGTCGGCCAGGACCAATACTTTAGTGACAGAGGAGAGAAGGAGCCGGGCAGCCTTGACCATCCCTGTCCGGTCACTGAAGACTGTGACCCGTCCGTCGGGCGGGGACGGCGTGGCCGATCCCACGTCTGTCAGCTGGGCAATGGCATCGCCTGAGTTTACAGAAGGGAGCAGTTCATGTTGAGGAAGGCAGCCATAAAGATGGGCTTAGTGGGTTGCTTTTCTGTCTCATAACCAGTCTATGTCTTGTATGAATTTGAAAAAACTCTGAAAAACTGAGTGATAGTATCTCATCTCTCTCCTCAAAATGAGATTTTCTACTTTTTAATTACATGGTACATAACCGTGATGGGAAAGAAGAATTACATGCTGAGGGGAGGGTTGCAATATTTCCAGGAAAATAGTGGTAATTCAGAGGAAGAAAATGATTTTAAAAAACAGCTTTTTCTTTTTTGCTTTGCTAAAGGGGCCTGATTATATCATACACACATGTGCCTCATGTGCTTCACCATATGCCTTTAGAGGATGATCTAGGATAGCTTCAAAATCGGGATTTAACAGAAGACAATAATCACGAGAATCTGAACTCTGAAGAAACCTTCCTGTGGAGTGGATGAGGCGATAGCCTGTGTGCGCATCATGAACTGAGCTAAAATGCAGTGGAGTGCAAATGAGATTTGTAGTAAGGAAGGTATTCGCTCGAGGAAGGCACTCTCACACTGGGAGCAAAGAGAACTTTCATCATGAAATCTAAAATCTAACTTCTAAAATGATTATACCACGGTTATGTAAGTTGTGTTCAATTCTAGCATACCCAGTGTGGCCAGGACTGCACGCCGTACACAAAGAGATGAAAGGTTAACTTTGATGTTACATCTGACCTTAAACATGACTAAAACTCCTGCCAGTACAGTACATGTGCATAAATTTCTTGTACAGATAATTTAAGCAGTTCCATAGCTGCCGCATATCCAACAGCAACATTTTTTGACAGCTAATTCCTTTCGAAAAACTAGGAATCAGATTAGGGGAGGGGGCACATGGGACACCATAAGTATGGTGCCCTGCAGTAACTGTGGAGGCAAAAATTTGATTTGAAGAAGCAATTCAAAAAGAGTTCTTTCCAAGCTGTGGAGGCAAAAAGCAGAATATGCTGGAAGGTTCACAGATCCCATCTGGCTTGGGAGGGCCTTTGGATTTCCACACAAAGATCTGTAGACAGAGATGGGCAAAAAGCCTCCAGAGCATAGCCTGTGCTCCGGACCCTGGCATATGGCAGAATGGAAACTTGACTCAACCCTCAGTTAGGTCAAACTACAGTGAGGCATGTTTTTTAATTCACCAATCTTCAGCTGTGGGAGCACATGTAGTTCTGGAGAGGATGAAAGTCAAAATCATCCAGCAGAGTGGAGCAATGGCTCTGCCAGAATAGTCCATACTCAATGGGAGTACTATGGGTTTCTTTGTTTTGATGATAGAAACATCGAGAAAGGAAGGCAAATTATTTTTTTTTTACAACGATATGCAAACTTACAACTCTTAAACCCTGGAAGCTTGTATATTATGTTTTTTCTCTCCCTCAATTCTCACAAACCACTAATCAGCATTCAGGTATCAAGCAGATATAGTCACAAGGGTTTCATTAAAATGTATTTTTCTTTTTTCAAACATTTTACAGGTGATTAAAAAAAGTTAAAAAAACAAACAAACATCTGGAACGACACAGAGGAGGAGAACAAATCTCAGGAAGGGAGAGCGTGCAGAAAGGGAGGGGAGGGGGAGTCCGGTCGATATTGGGTCATGCAGCTTGGCTGTCTGTTTGGTTTGGCTGGTCTTTTAAAGGAAGCAGCACTGAAGAAGTGATTACATCCGACAGCCTGTGTTTCACCGGCAGCTCTGCTAACTGGTCAAACTTCGAGGTCTGGCTCATGGAGAATGCTGTACAACCCCTGATTTCTATCTTCCGGGTTTCTAAGCTCAAACTGCTAGATCAGCCTCTTAAGTATAGCTCTGTCTAATGAAAAGAGCTTCCACAGAGATAGAGATTCTACAACATGTTTAAACTTTTACATCACCGCTCTTAAAGAAATCATGTCGCATTTGCCAGTGACCAATCTGTCTTAGTGCAGTGTTATCTCTATTTTGTGAATTATGGCTCCCTTTAAAAGAATATGGATGTGAAAATAGATGTGAATATCAAGCTCATGATTAAAAAGATCCCAATCTTTTGTATGATCTTATAATGCTTAAAGCCTCTCAGACACACTTACATTGTTACTGTCGTGTCAGTAGTTAATGTTTAGTTATAGTGTTAATATAAAACATATATATTTTAATTAAAAGATATACTTTATTATTAAAAATACCCTCTTTGCTTTGCATGTGTAGGCCAATTTGTATGCTAATTTCAAACTCTCATTGTTTATGTATTATGACTTTACATTGATCTCAGATGCTATCTTTTACTCTCTGAGTCCAAAAAAGAGAGAGAAAGACAGAAAGCAAGCGAATGTGAGGACTAGTTTAACAGATAGAGGCAGAGATCCAGCACAGATTGGCTTCACTGACCTGCCTCACTGGATCTTTCAGCTGTTCAGATGATGGGTACCATCACATTTAAATTGGGCTCTCATTATGGCAGAAAAAGCTGAAGCCACGCCAGAATAAATCCGCTCAGTAACTTGGTACGAGAGAACCTAGATCACCTAAGTTTATATAAAAAGTTTTAATTATTTCACTTCTCGTGGTCTAAAACCAGAAAAAAAAAAAACTTGAAAAAGAGGAGATGAGAGAATTAATCATTGAACAAGTGTTCAAAGTCTGTCTGAAAACACCTCTCTGAGAGGAGAGTGAGAGCTGGAATAAATTAGTCACAGTTGGTAGGCAACACACCGATTTAAACATGCACGCACCTATGGACACTCAGACTCATGCACACATTTTCCCACCAGTTTACCGGCCCCACAAGCTGCCCTTTTTTCTGAGTTTTAGCTGTCTCTATAGATTAAATGCTTTGCAACACAAGCCCGCTCCCCAAACGTAAACCTGTTATCACAGTGTTGTGTCTAAGTTCTTATCCAGTGTGATATTGTTCCCAGTTTTTCGCTCTGAAGGGATAAATGAGGTCCCCGTTTTGTCTGATAAGAACTAAGTATAAGTAAAAAGTCCTGATAATAAAAGTTTGTGGAACTTTTAGAATACCAATACACTTCGCTGATATCTATCAAATTTGGTCTAACAAATTTGTGATGACTAAGACATTCCTATGCATGCACTCACACAACCACAGTTAAACCGAGTAGATTCTTTTGTGAAGAGCCACACAGATGGGAGCTTCACATCAACAGCAGCACCTGCCACTGTAAGGACAACCGTACACTGGGTACTTTTCAGTGGAGAACAGTGGGCATACCTCTGAATTTGAGCTGTCTCCCTGGTTTGGCTCATTACCATAATGAACCACAGCTTGTCACGTTGGGACGGAACATAGTGGGAAAGTGTGTGGAAGCAGCTTCACATCACACTTTCCACATTTTAAAGCTTGGTGAACAGTCGGCGCGATATTCATGAGGGTTTAATTGCACTACAGCTGTTATCAACTCCAGAAATGTGTCCTGTTTATTCCACCCGAGGACATATTTTTATGAAAATGTGCTGCGTTCCCATTAGAGCTCCTGGTAAGCTAACAGGCGCAGAAGGTGGTATTCAACAAAACAGCCGTGAATGGGAGCAGCAGAAATATTGACATATGGTCCACGGAGAGCTGGAGCTGCAGCTCCATCTGAAACGCTTCTCTCCTGTTCGTTTTGTCTGAGACACTGGGTGAAAAAACAAATCTGTGCCGCGGCTAATTATTGTAGATAACAATGTTTTATTGTACATGACTGCTGGAACGGTTATTTACGAAGAATCGCAGCTTGTGAATTCTTTCTGAGGAGGAGATCATACATCAAATGAATCCACTGCTGCGCCTACATGTCCGTTCATGTGATGGGGGAGTTGTGTTGGAAGCGATTTGTTTATGTTGCTAGGTTCAACCAAAGGGAATCTTTCTTAGCAAAATGTTATGGAAAAACACCAGAGGCCATACAATTGATAGCTGACACCAACACGTTTAGTTTCTACCAATTTTTTATCTTTTAACATGTGAGAAAGAGGCTTAATTTAGTCCACAACTTTAATTTGGCAGAGGTATTTCATATGTCAGGAATATGTCAGAATACAACAGTTCCAGTTAATTTCCCAGCCCATTTTGCTGGATCGACCCGGGATGGTGTGAAAACTGTGATTTTCTAACAGTAAATACATCTCACTGTCTGAGGATTCGAAAAACTCTTTTTTTGGATACTTACCCATCATTTTTTGTCATTAGAATTTGCCCGGGGGGATTAATAATGCACTGTTTTGTGGTGAGAGACGCTCTGAATGCACACAGCACTGCTATCTAACTCCAACTGCATGGAAAAAGTCCGGACCAATTCAAAACTTAAAGAAAAGGAGACATTATTTTTGAAAAACGCTTCTGCGCTTACCAAAACGTGTCCATGAGGTACCGAGAATCATAGAAAAAGTTCTTCTATATCATGCACAGCCATTCTAAAAAGGACCTCTAAGTTCCTGTGAGCCTTTATTCCCAGCCTAACTGCAACAGAGTCCTCAGAGCCTTTTGAAGGTACTCTGGAGGAACAGCCAGGCTGTACAGACAATTCACAATTTGCTCAAATTTGATTATAGTATGACGTCTGAAGGGGACATCGGGTGCTTATCAAACTGTTCACACTGCACTGTTTTTAAGTTAAATAGAGCTATTTGACTAAACGTCAAGCACTAATGATGTCGAGCTGAAAATGCCTACCTGCTCGGCGTGCCTCCACACAGGCTTGACCCATCTCATCCTTCAGCTCCTGGTTCTCTGAGGCGATGGCCTCCCCGACGGCGACAAAACGCCCCACCGCCACGCTCACCGACTGACCCACCCGGTGTATGGCTGCCAGGGTGCGCTCCGACTTCTTTGGCTTGTCTTTATGGTTGATCAGAGTGGTGATCTGCAAAGATAGATAGACAAAAGAAAAGCAAGAAAATGCATTAGACAACAAATTTTGAAATGTATCTCAGAGGCCAACCAAATTGAAAAATCCCCCTTTTCTGTATTTTGATCTGACAATCAATTATCAAGAAGTAATCCCTTGTTTTACATTTGGCCTCTTTAAAACTTGAGGTAAGTAAATACATACTATCAAACCAAAACCCAACTATAATGCTCTACAAGAACAGTATTCGGTGAATACACCACTGAGTATCAGAGAGACGGGTAACCTATAACGTAACACACATATCATTAAATGTGAAAGAGGAGCAGCAGGGAGCACGGCAGATGGGAAGTGCGCGCACGCCTTCAGTCCCTGCTGGGCTCAGAGACGACACATAAAACTCAGGTGTGTCCTTTTAGTGATAATTGAAGGTATTAATTATGAATAGGCAAAGCTAATTATCGTCAATTATGTATTGATTGCTTCTACTCTCTCCGGCTGATATCATTGTAGGTTAGAGTGAGGGCATGTGTGCATTTGTTAAAGCGGGTGGATGGGGAAGTGGTGGGTGGTGATTTTAATTGGTCTGCAGCTGTAGGTGGTCCCAGAGGGAAACCTGGGACAGTAAATTCTTTGTGGGCTTCAGAACACACAGGCAGGCTGTGCTGAGTTTTTCATCATACACAATAAACAATCCAAATGACGTTTTTTTTTTTTTTTTTTTACAAAAACAGATTTACAAAACACTGTAACTCATCTGCATCCTAAATGTCAGTGAAAATTGGCAGCTTTCTGGAAGATAAGCAGGTCGCTCATTTAGCCTGCCTGCGACTTGATACTGATATCTATTTGTTATTTTGGTCTGAATAACATTCAGCTCTACCAGTCACAGACAAAGAGAAGGAAGTCATTTAAAAAAAAAGTTGGACCACAAATGACTTAGACAGAACCAATCCAATTTAGCTCAAGTAAACAAACTCGGTGCCCCGTCTTTAAACTGTCCATCAGACGCTAACCTTGCTTAAAGTTTCCCAAAGTATCACTGAAAAACTAGAGCTGACTTTTAGCAATGAGACACAATATGAGTCTAAAAAGTAGGTTTATTAGAAGAATATCCACAGTTTTTATAAGAGAAAGTTGTTCATTTTCACACAATCATTCGACATGGTAATATGAGTAATTTTCGATATACATTAGCCTCAAACTTTGTCAAATCACAGTGTCTGAGCTTGTAAAAACATGTGAGGACTGTTTGGGGCCTGTGTCAGAATGACTAAGTGAAATTGCTATCACAGATGAATGGAGCTTTTAATGCATCGTATCTCTTGTCCTAAAGGGACTTTGGTTTGAAATGATTCCCTTAAAAAAGCCCTTCTTTTTCCATTCTATAAATCCATTGTCCACACGTCCATTATCTGTACCTGCTTTATCCAGATTACTAACGGGAACCCGCGGCCTCCCCTCTGCAAATGTGCGTGACTGAGAGGCGGGAGAGAAGAACCTGCTGTACCCAGCGACTCTCACATTCCCCCTGTCTGTTTCCATTTGATGGCCTCATGTCTCCAGTCCACAGACAGAAGTTGTTACACGTCAAACTGCCTTTTTTTTTTCACTCGCACATCATCCACTTCTCTTCTGTATTATCATGACAGAGATGAAATGCTCATTAAGCCCTTCTTTAGGACTGTTGCTTGTCATTTTATGTATCACTCAGCTTTTATTATCCCTGACCAGTGTTTTTCACTGACTCATCCACACAAGAGCTGGACGTCATGCGGCCTATAAGAGCGAATTAGAGCACTGTGGCCCTTGAATCATACCTACGTCATACTCAGGCCGCATATTATGAAACGGATCTAATGAATGTTTTTTGGAATATAAAGGATTTGCCTCTAATGCTTCTGAATCTGCAGGATGCAGGCGTGGATGTCTGAAACACGCAGCTCCGAGCACGTGTTCCCACAGGAAAAAAAAATGGTGACAATGATGAACGCTGAGGAAGTGACCATCCCAAAAAACAAGCATCTCAGGGAGGCGCGGGCACAGGGGAGGAAGCTAGCGTGTGAGTGTGAGCAGCGCCGAGAGGTTACAGATTCAGGAGGAGGAGGAGAAAAACAGGGCCGACAGAAACACAGGAGGAGAAAAAACAGCCAAAAGAGACACCTGACTACAGACCCCTGTGTTCAAAACGATTCCCTTACTCCCTACTCTGCGGCAGCTGAGGACGGCGAAGTTAGTTTAACAAGTTTAACATGGTGGGTATGTGAAAAGCAAATAGAGAGAGAGGGAAAAAGTCCCCTAGAATTACAAAGAGGGAGCAGAGAACAACCCCAGGCTGGGATTTCCTCTGTTAGGGATTACTAGGTGGGTACATTTACTGGGCTGTGCAAACAGGAACAGAGCAGGGTGGTGAAAACATAATATTGATACAGTGCCATCACAGGAGAGGCCTTTGAGTTTCCAATGTTTCAGTGGGACTCCAGGCAGGAAAACAGAAATGTGGCCAGAAACTTCACAATCAGAAAAGCAAAGAAGAAAAGCAAAGCAGGTCAAACCATTTTGGAATGTAAGGATGTTCCAATGCATATTTGTTAGTGTAGATTATTTAGTTTTACAATGTTATTGCTTCTGGACGCCTGATTTTTTTATTTATTCAAACAATGACAAACAAGAAACCTGTAAGATAGATGAGAACAATGCATGATTTGTGGTCAAATATACAGACTGGTAAATGTTTAATGGTGTAAGAAATCACTTCAATATGTTTGCAAAACGTCCGCTACTCACACAGCATGACGGAAACACCCTCTTATCGCCACTTATCAACATCTGAGATTTCCTTCATCTGGATCAAAAAATGCATAACTGAACCATAAGTCTGCTGTTCCACTCACAGGCAGTAAATCCCACTCTTCATTCTGACTTATTCGGTATGCAACCAGCCCTTTTCCAACAGTCCGCCTCCCCATCTCTTTGTGGTGCATACGTAGGATGAATATTACAAGGTCTACAGTGAAAAGCAGCATGAATACCTCGACGTCAGCAGCACGAAACGCGAACCAACATCAACCGGTAGGTTGCAGGAAATCTAGATTAACACCTCAAGGACGGAGTGACTGACTATAAATCAGTGGGCAACAAAAGCTGGAAACATTTGTGGCTGCCTCCCAGGGCCACAGACTCAGCTCCACTGATGGAAACACTTGGAGAAAGTTTGGATTTTTATGAGTCATTATGCCTGTTGGTCCATTTTTCTTGCTGTCCACTCCTGACTGGTTCAGAGGTTTAAATGCATAGATAATGGTGGGGTGAGAAAAATAACTCAACCAAACAAAGGATTCTTTTCAAAGCTACCCAGTGAATCCGAAGGCCCTGCAGGGACTTTTATTAAGCACACATGTAGTGGATGTTCATCACCCTAATTGTTTGCTGAGCAAGTATTATGTTAGCCTGCTAATTTGTGCTATTTATCTCAAAGATCGCAGTCAAGCTTAAAATTTAATTTGGCCCGCTGACTAGTGCTAGACAGTAAAGTGAGAATATGGTATTCTCTATGGTCTGTGGCAAAGTCACAGCTAATTTCTTTCACTGTGAATAAATGTGTGTGTGCATGTTTGCAGAGGCAGCTTTTTACTGTTTCCGAAACTGATCTGTTTGGGCAGAAAAAGCTGGGCACAAGACAAACAGCACTGAGCAGGTTTAAAGCATGAAAAAAACTCATTCAAAGCTTGGTTCACATAGACCAACGCGTTCATAGTTCATAGTTCAAAGTTTCCCGTTTAGAATTCTGTAAGTTCAGTCTAATGATGAATTACTTTAGGTTCATGTCCCAGTGACATTATGAAAGAAGACACCATGAGTCATGAACAGATAACATCAGCCGTTATCTGTTCTGCTATCAAGTTTAAAACAAGCTAATCATTTTCGTTAAATAGTTAAATGATTCACTTCTCTATTGTGAATCAAATATTCATTAATGAGATCTATTTTAATTCAATATTTGCACATATGCTTTAGATGCTAAACTTTTCTGGAATTAGGGGTGCTTAAGTGAGGGAGAGTTGCTTTCATGGGGGAAAAAAAAATGAAAGCATTTATGGTTACCCAGTTAGCTTTGCGTCAACACACACGTCCAATTATGCAACCAGTGCATGGATCATTTAGTTCAACAGGAAAAAGAATACTTCCAGGTCTTATTTCAGCCAATTACAGCACAAAAGGGATCATTGTTGCACCCAAAAGGACGCAGTGAATGTTTGGCTCAACCGTGCGCATTTCTACACCAGGTTTCCTGGCATTATTTAATCTGAACTGCAGTGCCCCTTGGAGAATGCTAAGTTTCAGCCTTTACTGATCCAAAGAGGTGGAAACTGGCTGTTCACTGAGGAGAGCGAGCAGACAAAAAAAAAAGATAAGAGGAGTAGAAGAGATGAAAGTTGTGCAATACATGCACGTTAATGGGTGAGCAAATTCCTTGCAAATTGGCCACAGGCGAACAAGAATTTGATGCCACGCTGGTCGACAGCCAGGCTCTAACATATGAGGAGATGTGAAGAGACAAGAGACTTTTGGGAGAGCCACTGGGGAGATGTGAAGTGAGGAAAAGAAGAAAGAGCAGGGCATGTTACATTTACATCACTCTCCCACCTTTTTTTCCTTTTGTCACCGCACATCTGATGTCATACTTTTCTCCTTCAGAATTCCCCTCTCTCGTGACTTGGGCAGTCTGATAGCTTCCCTCCAGCTTTCCTCAATCTCTTCTTTGATTAAAGTCTGTACCCGGAGCTAATCTGCTGCAGTACAGTGCAGGCCGATACAGTACGGTAGCAGCTTGCAGTGTTTAAGCCGCATCCTTTTGGGAAAACTGGGAAAACCAAGTGTTCCGACGGATGGAAATATGAAAGAGCTACAACACTGCAGCATGCAAACCTGACCCTGCAAAAAAATACCAAAACACTCCATGAAAGGTGTTCTAGCTTCTAATTTCAGCCGCAGAATGGATTGCTCACCCAGCCCCAAATTGGGGAAATCAGCACAAATGAATGTGGTCAGTTCTCTGGACG